ATTACAACAGCATGAAGGTGATCAGTCTCCAGGCACATTTAATGAGTTTTCCTCTGGGATCCAAGGCCTGGGAGCAATGCAGCACAGGAAATCTGACAAGGGCTAGCCACTAGGATAGCTTAAGAAGTCACTAGGCACAGGTTGGACTTTTATCAGTAGCTTGACCAGCAGGGAACCCTTGAAATGGAAAAGAAAAGACATTTGCACTTATTGAATTGTTGCATAATCATTGTAAAAACCGTGTAAGCTAGGCACTCTTATCCCTAGGAAACAATTTCAGTGAGTTTTTAAAATTTGCTGAAATCCCAAGGCTGACAGATTCTCTTATTCCCCTGAATTACGAAAATAATTCTGAGTTTTAATTAATTGGGATATCTGGAGCACAGAACATAATGTTCAAATATTAACACATGGAATCTACAATGTAAGAATCAAAAAACCCCACAAAATCAAAATAATGTTCAAATAATGATCAGTTAAAACTTTTCAAAATTGAAATATCATCCTTAATGAAACATAAGTGACATACAGGTATGGAGGAGGGTAAGAATACTCATAGATGATGCACTGGGTCTTGCATTTTACAGTAGCATGAAAAACCCCTAAGCACTTTTTAAAAATAAAAGGTCTTTATTGAGTAGCTATAGTGTGTTAGGCACAGTGTTATGCTTTTTCCAGATGTTGTCTCATTTCATTTTCACAACGAGCCTAGGGAGTCAGTATTATTACCCCCATATTATGAATACGGGATTAAAGCTTAGAGAAGTGGAATAACTTGGCCAAGGTCATATGAATCGTAAAGGGTAGAGGCCTCCTAAGCACTTTTTAAAGGTGTTTTCTTTGTGTTCACCTTTTGAAAGATTATAAACACACTGAAACATGTTGCTCGGTATTACTACAAAACTCCAATTTACTCTTCTTTCTATGCCAATGTTAAGGCGAAAAACAACCTTTACAGAGTTATTTTACCTTTAAAAACATTTATCTATTACTGTATGTTTAAGAACATAATTTAAGTTTCTAAATTGGTTGTTCTTACCGAGAGAGCCAAAAAAAAACCTGTCCCCATAAAATTTGCTACATTAAATACTTTTTATCTATGAACAGTTTTACTTATAAAACAAACAAACAAACAAACACAACAGTAGCTCCAGCTTCATTCTCTCTCTTTTAACTACTTTTAATTACACCAAAAAGTAATCCATTGGCTTTATTGGTTCTCTGTGGCCCCAAAGTGTAGATGCTTGCCCGATTCTTTTCTTTGGTTTGCTCGTCTCAGGTAAACAACATACCCCCTTCCTTGGATTTTTAGAATAAAAAGCAACCGAATTTAGGTTCTGTTGTTTGAAGCACTGATGCTGGCATTGCAGCTTGCATTTAATAGGAAGTGCGTTGCAGGTTCATGTGATCTCAGAGCAAGCGGAACCTCTGAGTTCTTCTTGCCTCCTGAGGGTGCTGGACAGAGTTCAAGCCCTCAACAAATATTTGTTGAATAATCAATGAGTCTAATCCAGAGGGTTCAAACTGTTCTTGAAACTGCTCAGTGGAGATACTTCAGAGGTCTCTGCAGAGGGAGGGAGTGTGAAGAGACTGAGCAGATGGAGCTCTGCCCAGCAGCTTGGCCTTCAGTCAGATGCAGAGAACTGCAAAGATGCTGAGACGACAGCCTATGGCTGGTACTTGATGGAATATGAAGCTGAGCTATTGGGGTCAGGGTCTAAGATGCCACTGAGTAGCAATGTTGGTCTCTTCCGCACTCATCAACGTGAGGCATTTTCTTTCTTTCTTTCTTTCTTTCTTTCTTTCTTTCTTTCTTTCTTTCTTTCTTTCTTTCTTTCTTTCTTTCTTTCTTTTCTTTCTTTCTTT